GAGGTCAGTGATGGTCAGTCCGAGGGATATAGCTCAAAAAGAAAGAATTACACCCCTATGCTCAGACGCCACCTGCAGAGCAGGCAGGCGCAGCATCTGGGTTTTTAACAGGAGCCGGCTCCCTTCCCCGCCCCAGGCAGGGTGAGGCAGGGGCGCCCTGGACCTCGCCCTGAAGATCCCCGAGCAGGCGAGTCAGAGTCGGAAGCCGGGCGCGTCTCCCGGGCTAGTGCTGCATCTTTGAAATGGGCACACGATAGAACCTTACAGGGAAGCGGGTGTTTACCAGGTGATGGTGGTGGGGTGAACGAGGCAAAGCATGGAGAGAGCCCCAGCCCCCTGGGAGTGCCCAGGCCCGTCCCCAGCACAGGGGTCCTCCTGGGCCACCTGCCTGACCACCCCAACCAAAATGAATCCCCTGATCGCAGAGCCCGCCCTCTCCCTGGCACCCCCTCTTCCCCTCAGGGGTTGGCTCTCGGCCCCACAGTAAAAGCACTGGAGAAACCCAGACCCTGGAGCCACGGCCCGGCTCCAGCTGAGGCCACCACGTCTGCTGGGCCCAGCCCTGGCCCCAAAGCCGCTGTAGGAACAATGGCCCATTGTGGGGGCCACATTCTCTATTATCTCCCCAGCTGACCCACATGGCACTCTCTAAAAATACGCCAGGCCAGGCAGTACCCCACCGGCCTAGGACATCAGGGTTCAAATCCGCATTCCACCCTTCCCCAGCCCTGTGAGTCCCTGGGGCCTCACCCCAGGTCCTGAGCAGAGAAGAACCTTGTGTCCCCGTGCAGTGCCCCCGTGCTGGAAAAGGGGTCCTCAGTACGGTGGCAGAGGGATTTAATGAGGTGCCTGGGCACTACTTTAGTGGCAGGTATGGGACACCTAACCCTGGCCGGCATCAAGGACGTCCCTGGCAGCCTAGGTGTGGGATGGGTAACAGATGTTGACTCATCCCTTTGGAGACCTTAAAATTATACAGCTGTGGAGCCAGAACTAATTCTGTCTCAGAAGGCAGGGGTTGCTTCGCTTTACTGTCAAGTCCTCAGGCCTGGGCACAGCTGCCTGCCCACAGCAGGTGCGCAGGGTCTGCTGGGTGATGACCGTCCCATCTCACGGAGAGGGAGGCCGAGGCCGAGAGAAGGTCAGTAACTGGCCCAAGGTCACACGGCTGGAATGGCGCAACAGGACCCGAACCAGAGCCCGTCCGAGTTCAAAGCCGGGGCACTTTGACACCTGTTTTCCACTCCATGCCACGTGTCACGTGAAGAAGGGAAACCTTTACTATGCGCGTGCACTGTGGCTCTCTAAAAAGGGGCACAGGGAGTCAGACCTCTCACTGAGGTGAGTGTAGATGGATTTTTATCTCCCAGCATCTCCACGGACTGGCAACCCACGGGGCGCGTCCTGGGACACACTGACACGTACTAGAGAGAATGAGCACCTGCTCCTCCTCCAACGTGCACTGGCCCCTGCGCTGCCGAAACGTGGGTCAGACCCGGGAAAGGCCTCGGCACAAACGTCACTTTCCTGGGGAGCCCCTTCTAGCCACTGCACACGCGACACGTGCTCCTTTGTTCTCTTCCCTGTAGCCCCTACACAAGGACAGACATCCATTTCACAGCTGCCTCCCCGACCCGACAGCCAGTTCCCAGAGGGAAAGGCTGGCTCTGCCACTGTCGGGTTCTGGCCCACAGAAGGCACTTCGAGATTTGCCCAGTCGGCACCACCTGTAAGCCAGTAAGTGGTAAACGGCACCCATCCTCGCTGTCTACGCTGCTTGTAAGCCCGCAGGTGGTGAAAACAGCGCCTCCCACTGGGCATCCTCAAAGATTTCATCTATTAGGCTTGGGAGCTTTCTGGAGGACTATGTTTGTTCTGTTGTTCTCTCTATGACAGAATGCCCAGGAATGTGCCTCAGAAAACTCTCCCCTTCTCTATCTCCCCTGTAGCCAAGGGCACTCAGAAGACTCAGTTCTAGTCAGTGAGTTGCCAGCAGAACTTGCAGGAGCTACAGGGAGAATTTTTTTAAAGGGTCGAACTTGACCTTTTGATTTTTCCCTGTCACCCTTCCACCTGCTTACTCCCTGGAACATGGACGAGATGTTTGGTAACTGAGCAGCCATCTCATGAGCATGAGGACGAAAGCTACATGCTCAAGATGACAGAATAGGAAGCTGGAAGGAGTCAGGACTGGGTGACACTCATAGCTGCTGTCCCGGGCCTTCTAGGGGAGCACAGATAGCAAACATGTCTTGTTTCAGACACCGTGCAGTGGTATCAGTCTTAATGATGCACCCACCGTGCGCCCTTGTCCGAGTCACCGGCTTTCTCCGAGAATTCCTTCCCTCAGCTGAAAAATGAGGTCAGCGACAAAGCCATCTGGTCATGGAGATGCTCCCAAGATGACAACCGGGGTGGGGACTGGGAGTGTTTTGCAAATTGCAGCATTTCCTGCCATGGCCATTGTTATGGACACTGATCCCAGAGAGGATGACTGTGAAGCCACCAAGGCCAGCCTCGGCTTAAGTCAACTGGCCGGATGATCCAGGGGAGCTCTGAGACCAGCTGCTGCCGCCGTCCCCGACAATCCGCCTGGTCAGCAGGCCCCGTAGAGACTCCGAGGCTTTGGAGTCTAAGAGGATGACACACTTATGGGCCTAAGTCAGCAGGCGCGCTGGGCTGGCCCTCCCCGCCTCAGTCACAAGCCTTGGTCAAGGCAGAGCCCGAGGGCAGAGGCAAAGAAAGCTGATTCGGGCTCATCAGACACAGCCTTTATTAAGAGGCAAATCATCAGAACAGAAGCTCAAGAGAAAAGGCCAGAGTGTCGCCTACTACCATCTTTTTGTGAAACGACATACCCCCCACCTCCATTCTCTCTTCCAGGTTCCTCTCCTCTGCCCACAGCGGGGGACGGGGAGGCCTACCTGTGCCCTTGATCTTATCCTTCCCATTAGGTCAGGAGCACGTAAAGAATGAAAGATGACCAGGAGGGGCGCACGCGTGGAAGGAACAAACGGTATTTGCATGTAAGGACGGCCATCCCCTTACTGAGCAAATACTACAGAGCCGGAAGAGCCAGCATCCAAGAGCACACGCCTGCAGGTAGAGTTAAGGTCTGCAGACTCCAAGCCCTGATTCTCACCAAAGCCCAGGGCTGCAACGGGCACCTGGGACATCGGGAAAATAAGACGAGGGTCTCAAAGAGGTCAAGCTGGACCTGTGGCTACGCCCTCTTTGGAGTCAGGAAATAACGTGCTGCATGCAGAGGGTGTCAGCCTGGAACATGGCTTGAGGCTGGACCCACGCTGACCACTGGAATTCTCTACGGAAGAAAGAATTAGAAGCAAAATCTCTCTCGGATTAGAGAAAAGAGAAAGTAGGAAGACAGCCACCCACAAAGCAGCGGGGAGGAGGAGGAAGAGGAGGAAGAGGAGGAGGAGGAGGGGGAGAAAATTACTAGGGTACAAATTTCGTGTGTATGACACCTCGGGGACAGTGATGCTACCCCAGCTTTCACAGATTAGAAAGCTAAGCCCCTGGGAGGTCAGGCAACTGGCCGGGCAACTGACACGTGGCTGGCAACGACAGAGCCAATCTGAACTTGCTACTATCCACTACCCCTGTTCTGTGACACCAGGAGATGAGCGACTATACCAGGTCAGCCTGATGGCCTGGACTGGACACGCCTGGGGAGACGGTCAGAGGAGCCCCACCACCCGCCGGGAGGGCATTCCTAGAAAACCCGCGGAGGAGAACAGAAGAGGTAAAGCCTCATTGTGCGCTGACCCGGACGAGCAGCGTGGCCATCTGTCACCGGGTCTGCTTTAAGCCCCAGCGGCTTCCCTAGGAAGTGCAACTGGGGGCGGGCGGGGATGGGAAACGGTGGGTTGAGGATTTCCAAGCCTCCTGGTTCTGCCCACCTTCAGTGAGGGGGCAAGAGAACAAGAAGCAACTGTGTGGAAAGAAAGAAATTAGTAAAAGGCCGCCATTTCCACGTGCCCTGCGAGCTGATCTGCTTCCAAGAGAAAGGAAAAACTCAGCCCCACCTCCACCCAACAGGGATCAGAGGTCCCCCCTGGCCCAGTTCCACCAGACTTGGAGCTGCAGAGCTGGAGCGAGGCTTCGGGAGACCCTGCCCAGCATCCCTCCTGCCCCGGCCCCTCTGCTCCCTCCACCGGAGGCCCCATGGGTAACATCAGCTTACGGCCAGGGCGGCCCTGGCGAGCATGTAAACACAGATTCCATAGAAACCAAATCAAATCAAAGCATCTGAGGAACTAAAGATCCAGGCGGAAGGAATCAGGAACAGCAAACGCAAGAGGAGAGGCGATTTGGGGCCGTAGGAAGAATGGAGTCAGCTGTGCCAACCTCCCCCCCATTACTCGTGTGGACTCTGGCTCCGACGCGGAGACAGTCATATTTTGTCATCTATCTCATCGCTCTGAGTGACACTGGGCAAATTTCTTAAAACTCCTCGCTCTTCAACTATAAAATGAGGAGAGCGGCAATTCCTCTCGCAGGGTCGTCGTGAGCGATCGATGAGATGATACAGGAAAAGCCGTCGGCCCAGTTTCCGGTATACTGTTGGTGCTCTATTACGGCTCCCACGTTTACTACATATGATAAGAGTCAGGTGGGCTGAAATGTAGGACTATGTTAACAGCACCCCTTGGGGCAAGTTTCTTCATATCTTCAAACTGATCCGTCATCTGCAAATGAGCAGTCCCCGCCCCGCACCTCAGCGAGGAAGCCCCGGCCAGAAC